TTTTAAAAGAAAAATACAGAGGGAACCAGCAGTTAGCGTAATGGCTATTTCGCTGGACTCCCACGTAGTCAACTGCGGTTCGCGTCCCAGACCTGGTGGCTTGAAACTCACGCCGGGTGCGTGTGCGTGCGTGCCCAGGATCCCGAGAGGAGAATGGAGGAGAAGGGATTGCGGTGTGACCATCGCTCCTGGGGGGTGAGTTCTCGCTTTCTGTCTCTCTGTCTGTCTGGTGAGCGCATGCGCCCTATAGCGAAAAACCTCTCAAAAAAAAAAAAAGAAAAATACAGAAAAATAAATGTCTTTGCCAACAATCTAATAGAACTTAAAAGAAATTTCCTCAACATAATAAAAGCCAAGACCCAAAGCAACATTCTACTCAGTAGTGAAAGACTGAGAACTTGTCTTCATGCTTGCCTTAACCACTTCTGTTCAACACAGTACTACAGTTCTAGCCAGAGAAAGTAGGCGAGAATAAAGAAATGTCATCCAAATTCTAAAGGAAGAAGTAAAATGATCTGTTCACACACGTCTTATGTGTAGAAAACTCTATAAAGATCACATACACACATAAATCGTTAGGAGATAGTAACTTCAGCAAAAGTGTAAGATACAAACTCATGGGTCGACAGGTGGTGTGGTGGTTAAAGGCGCTGGATTCCCACATGGCTAATCACAGACCAATTCCTGGACTTGGCAGCTTGCTTTCTCTCTCTCTCTCTCTCTCTCACTCTTTCTCTCTGTCTCTCTCTCTCTCCCTCTCTGATCAAACTGAAATAAACAAATAAATAAATAAAGTTAAATTTTTTAAAACAGAAACAAAATTATAGCAAAAATTAGTTGCATTTCTTTTGTTTTTTTAATAATTTACTCTTTTCCAGCTGGAACCATAAAGGGCATTCAAGAAAAGAAAAAGAAGATTCCTACTGTGGCAGAAACCAAGAAAAAAGCTTCTGCTGTGGCAGAAGACACCAAGAGAAAGGTTCCTGCTGTGTCAGAAACCCTTAAGGAAAAGCAAATGAATTTTGTGGGGCTGAAAATTACGTGCCTAAGAAGTTTGCTCAAAAGATGCTTCAAAAGGCACGAAGGAAGTTTATCTATGAAAAAGCTAAGCACTATCATAAGGAATATAGACAGATGTACAGAACTGAGATTTGCATGGCCAGGATGGCAAGAAACATTGGCAATGTCTATGCATCTGCAGAACCCAAATTAGCATTTGTCATCAGGATCAGAGCTATCAATGGCACGAGCCCAAAGGTACAAAAGGTGTTGCAGCCTCTTCGCCTTTGCCAAATCTTCAATGACTCCTTTGTTAAGCTCAACAAGGTCTCAACTGACATGCTAAGAATTGTGGAACCATGCAATTATTACATTGCATGGGGGTACCCAAACCTGAAGTCAGTAAATGAACTGATCTACAATCATGGTTTTAACAAAATCAGTAAGAAGTGAATTGCTTTGACAGATAACTCTTTGACTGCTTGATCTCTTTGTAAATATGGCATCATCTCCATGGAGGATCTGATTCAAGAAATCTATACTGTTGGAAAAACGCTTCAAAGAAGCAAATAACTTCCTATGGCCCTTCAAATAATCTTCTCCATGAGGTGGAATGAAGAAAAAGACCACCCATTTTGTAGAAGGTAGAGATCCTGGCAACAGGGAAGACCAGATCAACAGACTTAGTAGAAGTATGAACTGTATCCACCATGATTATTTTTGTAATCCAGTCAGTAAAAAAACAGAGTTGCTGTTTTCAGACTGAAAAAAAAATAATAAATAAGAGGGACCAGCAGTTGGCATAATGGCTATGTCTCTGGACTCCCATGTAGTGGACTGCGGTTTGAGTCCCGGACCCAGTGGCTTAAACTCACGCCGAGAGCATGTACATGCGTGCCCAAGATCCCGAGAGGAGAAGGGACTGCGGTGTGGCCAACCCACCTAGGGGGTGATTTCTCACTTTCTGTCTGTCTGTCTCTCTCTGTCTTTCTGGCGAGGGCATGCGCCCTATGGCAAGAAAAAAAAAATCTCTCTTAAAAAAAAAAAAA